AGAGTCGAATTCGGGTCTGAAACGGGGCAGAAACGACGAAAACGAGATCTGATCACGTTTTCGCCTGGACCGATCGGTCTGGTCCTCTGGACCGATCGGTCTAGGGTATTGCTCCAGACCGATCGGTCCAGACGTCGGGATTTCTTAAACTCGCGCTAATTAGGGTTTTAAGTGGGATTAGCTTTAGGGAATGCCTCCTAAGCCTCTTGGCACGACTTTCAAACCCTTTGGGGAGTTTTTGAGAGTGGAAAAACCTAGAGAAAAATCCCTGAAACCCTTGCGCAAAGAAGAAAGTGTTCTTCAGTCCTAGCAGACGAGTTAACCGTTGGAATCCTTTCCGCCGTGTGGATACGTGTAGAGGGCAAAGTATTCTTCCTGCCTACAGTGAGCGGACGAACACATCAATTGATACAGGCCCCGGATCGATTGAGGTAAGCGTTCTAACGTTTCTACAAGATCATGCATGATAGGTTTTAGGGTTTCATCAAAAATTGGTTAGAGCCAGTAGGAACAGGGACAACTGAATCCTGCTTAGGGGAAGGACAACTCGAAGCCTTGTGTCCGAATTGGTGACATTAAAGACACCGTGGAGGGAGCCACGAGTAGAGAACAGTTACTCTGATGACACCACCCTTATCATCCTCAACCTCCACCGCATCAGGCAGGGGAGCTCCGAGTTGTACCTCAATTTTGACCTTAGACTCCCCGATATTCAGGGGATCGAGTCTCATCTTTTCTGTATGCAGTGGTTCTCCAACACCACAGGCGATGTAGCTGATACCTTCCAAACAATACATCTCAGCAGGAGTGATCCATATTGGAGTTGAAGTAAGTAACGTTTGTCGAAGAGATGATGTAGGAGCTCCAAAACCCACTCACGAGTAGCAGCATCCGACACATGAAAAAGACAGGAAGTGTCACTGATTCGTCTAGCCAAAACCCACTCACTGATTCGTCTTCCCTATATGGGATTAAGAGCTTGAAAGATTCTAGAACCTGAAGGAGCAAGGCCATAGAATGTTAGTTATTTTAGAGTAGATTGGTGGACTTTAAAATCTCTCAAAGGATTCTTGTTTCACGTATATTACAAGTGTGGTAGAGGAGTAAAATGCTTGTAAAACACGTGTCGTGAATTGGTAAAGTGTTAAGGATTAGTCGGAAAATGAGCGACCGCTCGAAAAATGAGCGACCGGTCAGGAAAATGAGCGGGTAGCTCATTTTCTCTGATGAACAAAACTGGGGAAAATGAGCGACCGCTCGGAAAATGAGCGACCGGTCAGGAAAATGAGCGGGTAGCTCATTTTCTCTGATGAACAAAACTGGGGAAAATGAGCGACCGCTCGGAAAATGAGCGACCGCTTGAAAAATGAGCGACCGCTTAGAAAAATGAGCGGGTAGCTTATTTTCTCTGATGAACAAAAAATGGAAAATGAGCGACCGCTCGGAAAATGAGCGATCCGCCTGATTTTTCTGAGTTGTTCAAAATGAACGAAAAATCGTGTCTGTTCGGGAAAAACTTCCGATTCTTTGCACCTTTTGACTTTTGGAGTGTTAAAAAACATTCCAAAACGTCTGGACAGATAGAAACGAAAATCTAATTGATTTTTGAAAGATTTGTGAGCCTTGTTGGTGAAGAAACTTGCTACTTCTTCTCCATCTTTTACTGTTCATCTTCTTTCTCGGGTTTTTCTGTTTCGGACAACGTTTGAGGAGCAGATCAATCGTTTTTGATCTTTTTTGTATCTCTAAACGTATTCTCGGGTTTCTCCTTTGCTCGGTGGGGAGGGAATAACGTTTTAGGAAAGTGTTCTACACGCCTAGAATATCATATCCGGTTCTTTCGTTTTTATTTCGATTTCATTGTTTTCATTGTTCTTTCTTGGTGTATCCAGACCCACATTTATTCTAACATAAAAATGTCCGATTAGATTACCTGACCAGTTTTTATATAGATTTTTTTAAATTTCGTAGAGGGTCTCCTGAGATGGATATTTTTTGATGGGTTTAATATTATTTTACCCCATATATCAAAGAAAATGAATAGATGTTTAAGGAATAAAAGCTTAAACATGATGCGGAGCATATACCAATTTATTTGGATCAATATGAAATCAAATGAATATACACAAATAGTGCCTCAGGAGTCGGTAAATATAAATGTGCAGCACTCTTGGATCTTCACAACATCATCTCCTTCGATCTTTTCCAGCTTCACATTCGAGGCATTTTCCTGATAACTCGACAAAGAGCAACACATATTCAAATCCTATATATATATATATAACATATATATGAACAAGTACAGTGTATCTTACTTCAGAAACAATGCATTCCATATGCACGACAAATTCGCAGTCGTCGCATGCGTAGCAAGGATGCCGAGGGTCTCTGGGTTCTTCGCAGATATCGCAGTAGTATCCTCCGTAATGGACATATTCCTTGAGAGAGAGTGGGTGCACATGTTGTTCATGTTTGGCGGTGCTTGGTAGCCATTTTGCCTTTCGAAGACATTCGACATGGAACTCGAGACTACACTTGAGGCATTGATAATACGAACCCATCACTTTTTGTCGGCACGAAGCACATCTAGGATTGTTGGGTGGTCGAGCTCTATATATACCTTTAGAAGGCGGGTTGGGAAGGTGATATAGTATATGGGGAAGACCTCCGCGTTGTAAGGGACGAGCCAAAGAAGTTCCACATTCAAGATGGTAAAAACATAAGCCTCTTTCCGAATCCACAGCTTCATAGCAGAACATCAAGCTGTTTCTATCTCCACATGCAAAACACTGCACACGTCCGGGGCGTCGCCACCATTCTGTTTGATGAAGTTGGAGAAGATGATGAGGAGCCATAGGATGTCCCTCCACCGAACGCGGCCATTCCATGCACGCTTTGTGGAAACCACAGTTCCAATAACACCGTTTGCAAACATATGACAAATCTAGGAGTTCTTCTAAGCACATATGGCACTTTATTGTCAGTGGGCGATGTGTACTAAAATTGGCAAGGGTAAGTTCATGGGAGCAGTGGAAAGGGTGTCTAAGAGTCTTTCCGCCGTGCTTGCCGTAGAAACTCTGTCCGGCTTTACTTACGAATGCACATTTGACATCCATGGAGAATTCGCACGGCCGACAGTAGAAATGAAATCCTTGGAAAGCGTCTCCGCAGATGTCACATACACAAATATCCATGGACGACTCTCTAATGAGATGGAGATTATGAAGGGGATGAAGAGGATGGTCGACCAAGGTCTGAGGTAACTCTCCACATTCCTTATGAACCCAGAAAGCACCATCATCATGACAGTCATCGCATGCGTAGGCTTGGCCATTTATTCGAAGGTTACACATTCCACAAAGTTTATTGCTCCCATTTTGCAATCTCAGTGGATGGTCATGGATAATTGGAACCATTGGAATACTTGGATAATTGGAACCATTGGAACCCTCGGTTTGATTATGATTTTCTACCCAGAAGGATGACGAAACTAGCTTTAATCCATCTTTCTGTATAATTAAAAAACAATTAACCATTAAACAACCCAACTTTTGATAAATTGAAATTAAATGTACAGGATGACGAAGGCTGTTCAAATCCGTATTTCTGTTCATTAAAACACCAATGTATTTTATGCTTTTGAACCGATTACTAAATAGAGTACCTAATTTTGTTTTATTTTCATTTAAATAATTATAATCCTTTTTACATAATTAACGTAAATAATAAATATGGTCCTTTTGAGTTTTGACATTAGGTTTTTACTATTTTTTCCATCCATTTCTTAATACTTAGAAAACTAACAAACTCGGTCTTATTTGATCTCGAAAATATAACAATAATTTAAGAGAATAAAAACACAGAGACTGACCTTAGATAGAACGCATTCGAAGTGGGCATAGAACTTGCAGACGTTACATCCGTAAACATGAACATTGGCTGCTTTCTTGATCATCCCCTCACATATGTCACATGAATACTCGCTCTGAATATACTTATGATGAGATGCTTCTGATATTGATCCGTCCATAAGCTTAAGTTTGTGCTCATGATGCTCGTGTTTCCACTCTATCGGAACAGAAACACACCCCACGTGAAAATATTCCTTGCATATCACGCAATGGAGACCGTGATTCCGGACTTTACTTCTACAAACGTAACACGAGGAGGCAGAGTCGATGACGAGAATGCTTACAAGACTATGTTCATGGAATCCAAGCTTTACCGGTCGGAGGATTGAAATGGCACATTGAAAATGCAATGCAAACTCGCATTCATTGCAAGTATAAGTCGGTAGGAGCTGTGTTAGGAGAACCTGCCTGCAAGCCTCGCATTTCTGATATTTAGATCTAAGGGTGAAATCATGACAATAATTAATGAGAGGGTGATAGGGGTGCAAAGGATGACGCATGACTCGAGGTGTGCTGATGCATGATTCATGTATGAATTTGTTGCATCTAAGTTCAGGACAAGCATAACCAGTACCCCACATTGAGAGCTCGCATACAATGCAATTGTAAGGAAACTTTTCCACCACAAGACTGTACTCTCTAAACCTACATCTCACAAGTTTGTGCACATCGCTCCAATGGCGGAATTCCTCGTTACTTTCCCATCCGAGCGGAATCTTGGTCCTTGTTGAAATGACACACTCAACACACATGCAAAACTCACATTTGTCACATCTATAACTCCCACGAGGATATGAAATGTAATGACACTCTTTACATATGAGAAAATACAAACCATGATAGTAAGGTTCATCCTCACTCAGTTCATATAACTTTGGAGTTAACGTTAATCGTACAACGTGACCCTGGTGGCGATTGTGAGAAATTTCTCTAGGGATCTTGAAGCAATCTCCACACAAGTTTGCATCACATTCTATGCAATGGTATACTGCGAGTTTTGGTAAAACGCAAAACTCGCAGTTTTTTTCCCTATCCGGACTCTCTAATAGTTTTGTTTGGTGACCATGGCCGGAAACCAGAGCTTCAGCCATCTCTCAAAAGGGGAAGGGACAATTGGAACAGACAAAACAAAAACACGCAATGTCAATAGGAGGAAGGAAGTTTGTGTTTGGTTTGATGAGGCAAGGGCGCCGCTCCTTATAAAGATGTTGTAGCCATTGGACAGATTATTTTCTTGAAGCTTGGTTCATATTTTGATTCTCTATTTCCTTTTTCATCCGGAAATGTAATATAAGATTATAGTAAATACATCACATTATATTCCATGTATCTCGTGATTTCATATGGATAAATAGCTAATAATTAAGACGAAATACCAGAATTTATGGTCATTAACAAGGAGATTCAAGTGTGCAAGTGGCATTGTGTATAAAATTATCACCAACATTGAAAAATAGTTAGGAAATAATAACTAAAAACTTTGGATAAAATAAGAATTAAAAACGGAAATTCAAACAAGAAACGCATAAAGTAGATGCTAAGAAACTAAAAAGGGTCAAGTTTGGAATGAAGTGAGGGTTATGAAAAACGAAAATGCTATGGTGGGCCAAATAACGCACAAGGGCCAAGCAATGAATACCGGTGAAATTTATTATTGAAATTGTTTTTTTTTTTATAACGGAGCGTCTTGGGCCGAAGCCCAGACTAATCTCCGGGACGGGAGCAAGCTATGTGCTTTGAAATATTCGCTCCCCTCCCCATCCTAGGGCTCGAACTTGGGGCGGGACAAATGCTTTGCACCCCGTTTCACCAGTTGAGCTACACATGATAGGTTATTATTGAAATTGTTGTTATCATCTATCATATTCTAAATATTTATATGATACGTCTGAATGCGATATTCTAAAGAAAAGCTGTTAATGGGCGAGACAAAGAACAATTGAATTTATACAAAAATTTAAATTTATCAATTTATTTATTTTTATTTACTACAATCTGTAAAAACGTTTATAATTATTTTGGAGGAATCAATTTTTTTTTCACGGGAGAAATCCGAGATTTTTTTATATATCCGTATCCGTATCAAACTCGAACAAAAATCATTTGGTTCACACAAAAAAATTGGCAAATCATCTTCAACTTGTTGACTAAATTCTTTATATATAAAAAAAATCTGGCGGGAATCATTTTTAAATGCTACATACGTTACAATTTTTATTTTTTTTATTCATATAGTTTTATTTGTACTTTCGATCCACCTATATCTACCCTAAATCGAAAGGTAATTGTGCTACAATTAAATTACACACATCCTCAACGGTCACTCGAACATAAGATATGAGACAAGAACACCCTTAACCTTTTTAACCACCTACACCATTCAACCAACTCTTATTGGATTACAATTTTATTTCGTAGTTTTCTAAGCATCGCCTTACTTGAAAATTAGTCTTTTTCATAATTACTGATTTTGCTTACAGATTGATGACGTTTTAACAATCCCTAAACTCTAATCTCCACTAATGATGATGATGGCGACGACGACGACAAGATATATACGTCATCAGATTCAGTAGACATAGCGCGTTTATATAAAAATATGTTTCTATATGATATTTTATAAATTTCCTTTTAAATTCCACGTATCCTTTAAAAGGTGTTTTGAAAATTCTGAGCAATAAAAAATATCTTTCTTTAAAATAAAAGTTGGTGCGTGCACTAAAACGTTAATTATCATATGAATTCAATATAAACGGAATACATTATAGGAAGTAAAAAGAATAAATCTTATTTTGTTGGTGGGCTGGTCCACAATGGCTAAATTCATCTGTCTTCTCTTAATTAGGAAAATTAAAATAATCAAAGTTTTATAAATGGGTAAAAAAATTAAATTTCTTTCCAACAATCGTATATTTATTTCCTTATTTTACCTCATACAATTAACATATTTTGATTTTGCATTAATCACGTTCCTATCCCTTTATAACTCGGTGTCCCCACATGACACGTCTTTATAAACGCATTTTCTGTAGACAAAAACCAATCACATGCATCCGAAATGCAACCCGCAAAGCGAAGAAAAACCCTAATCTTATTCTCTCCCCCTCCCCCTGAGGATAAAACTGAAACCCTAATTCCGTCGTCTTTTCCGCCACTCGAAGAATTACCTTCGAACGTAATCGACGAAATTCTCTTCAAACTCCCCCAGAAATCGCTCGCTCGATTGAAATGCACTTGCAGAACCCTAAGATCTCACATCTCGAACCCAGATTTCGAATCCGAATACTTCTCCCGGGTCGGACCCGGGTTGATCCATGTCTCTAGCTTTGCCTCCAATTACCTATGTTTCAACCCTTTCGTCTTCTCCCAAGTTTCCAAACCCAATTCCGAGTCTGATTCTGATGAAGACGATTACGCTGGCTGTGATAGATTCAGTGTTCATCTTCCAATGCATTGTCAGATTCTTGCCTCCCATGGCGGTCTTGTACTTATGTTCATGAAACAACTCTGCATCTTCAACCCAATCACCAGACAGTTTCGTTTTCTGACTCACGAATCGTCTCAGGCTATGAGACGATGCGTGGTCCGCGAACCCGAGAAGCGAGTAGTTCACGCCGAGAGGTCGGCGAGGATCGGATTAGTCGTCGAGCAGATCGATCGGATGACCCAGATGTTTAAAATCGTGTGTGTCGACGAATTGCGAGCTGCCAACCCTGATGAATCTAGGTTTGGATTTGATATCTATAAGTTGAATTCATGGAAAAAATCCAAGGCGACGGTTTCTTGTCCAAGAAGCAACATTTCTAGACACACCAAACCGGTTTACTTCAATGGGGCACTCCACTGGCTGAGAAACAACGGTAGCATCATCGCTTTTGACCCCGAAACTGAGGAGGCAAAACTGATTCCGACCACTTACCCGTCATCCGAACCCGACTTTACAGTGTGGCTGGGGGCGGCAGACGGGCAGTTGATTCTGATCTTGGCTACTGAAGAGGTGATTTCCGTTTTCTCCCTTGTTGATCACGAGAAGCCGGACTGGACCCTTGTGAGATCGATCAAGAACGACGCCCTAGACGATGGTGATTGGCTGTTCTGGAGCATCGTGGCTTACGATGGGAAGGTGCTTGTGCTGCAAGAAACGAAAGGGTGTGAAGGCAAGGGGCGCGTGCTTCACAAGTACAGCATGAGAGACAACAAGTGGGGCATCCTCGGACTGATGCCGCGGTGGCTGGATGCCAATCGCGATTTCTGCCGCTACATTCCGTCGTGGTCTTCGGTGGCGGAGCTTCAGAGTTGGCATTCGACTTTCGCGGCGGCTCGTCAGGGAACGCTGGCGGCGCGTTTGCGCTGTCTTGGTCCGATTATGGATCTGATTGATCCGCAGCGCAAACCGAAGCAGTCAAACTTTTGGTTGTCTCTCTGAAATTTGATTTGTTTCTGTGTTCGTTTGTCGAGTGTTGATTATCTGTTTTGTTGTCTAATGTGGAAAATAAGTTGGATAAAGGAAAAAAACAGTCTTTGTCAGAACCAAAAGCGATCTCATCAGAACTAATATAACAATCCCAAGTCAATGCAAAAGTGACCCTACATGACTTCAAAATAACGAAACCAGATCTGTGGAGTGTCTTCAGCAAAGCCTCCAAATGGAGGAGAGGCTTCCCAAAGTCTCTTGGCGAAGTGGAAGCTTTCAAAGCTTCGGAACAAGACAGAAGGTCCGAGGGGCAAAATGGGTATTTTGTAAGGGTCGAATTAATGAGACCCTAGGGTTTGTTTCTCCTTCAGACTTGTGTTTTGGCTCTCTCTCTTGCGGCCGAGGGTGCTTTCTCTCTCATCGGGTGTGTGCGTGTCTCCGGGGCCGCCAACGGCGGTTTCCGCCCCTAGATACTCCACTTCCTCTCCCCGAGACGTAGGTACCGAGGTTCCCCTCGGTACTGAACTCGTATATCGCGTGTCGTCTCTCTCTCTTCTCCGTTTCTTTTCGGATCTGTTCAAACGAGGGTAAATCGGAGTGAATCGGTGAGAGATCGAAGGCCGGGAACCACAACAAGTGGTATCAGAGCCCGGTTGCGGGCGAGGCGCGGCGAATCGGCGGCAGAATCGCGGCCGAGGTAAGTCGCGGTTCCTGGATCTCGGGTCTGAGCGTTCTAACGCGGTGTTCGAGTTGGTTCAGGCAAGAACCGACGTCGGGGAGGCCATCGGTGAGGAGATCGGCGGTCAAGAACGGCGGGAACGGCTCAGATCGGCGGCGAGAAGTTCGAAGAGGCTCGGATCTAACTCGGATCGAAGATTCGGACGAGTTACAAGGTGACTCAGGTAAGATCTCGAGTCTGCGTGTGTAGATCTAGGGTTTGGGTGAGAGAACCGGTGAAAAACCGGCGGAAATCCGGCGGAATCGGCCGTAACTCACCGAGTCACGGCTGAGTCGGATTCCGGGGTTCGGATATATTTAATTTGATT